TCTGAGTTTATCCTGTTTATTCTGGGTATTTTTCACTGTTGCTCAGTAAGCATCATCCACTTAAATCATTGTTATTTTCATAAGGCTTCCATACTTGCACTTTTCATTGTTGTCTTCATTGATTTGCATATGTTGCTTAGCTTGCTCAGAATGCTTTTAATTCTCAAGAGTAGGTTGAAGGTTTTCCAGCAGTGGTATGTGGCACTTAAAGAAAAGTTATATGATTTTAAAAAATACTTTACTTATTTTCATTATAGTTGATGTAATTTTTATTACATAGCACATCACGGAAAACAGAATATCATTACATGCTAATAATAGTAACATTGAAAATGGAAAAACAGTACATATCTATAATAATAAAAGCATAATATGCTAATTAGACTGGATGTCCTTTTGGACGACGTTCTGGACAAATCTGGGGCTGCGAGCGAAGCCCGGATTCCGGGTGCCAGAGAGAACCTGGTGCTGGCAGCCAGGGAAAGGAAGGCCTACTCTTGCATGAATTTCATGCATCGGGCCTCTAGTATTTAATAACTACCTATATTTCTATAGAAATGATACCAGGACATACTTAACTTGGAGCAGAATATATAATACTAGAGGCTTGGTGCACAAAAATTTGTGCAGTTGGGGGGGGTCCCTCAGCCCGGCCTGTGTCTTCTTGCCGTCTGGGACCCCTCGGGAAATGACCACCTGCTGGCTTAGGCCCACTCCCTGGGGGATTGGGCCTAAGCTGGCAGTCAGACATCTTTTTGGCAGCCCGGGAGCCCTCAGGGGATGTCCACTTGCCAGCAGGGAGCAGGCCTAAGCTGCAGTCGGACATTCTTAGCACTGCTGAGGAGGTAGGAGAGGCTCCCACCACCACCGCTATACTGGCAGCTGGCAGCCTGGCTGGTGGCTGAGCAGAGCTCCGGCTGTGGGAGCACACTGACCACCAGGGGGCAGCTTCTGCATTGAGTGTCTGCCCCCTGGTGGTCAGTGTGTGTCATAGTGACCAGTCATTCCCAGTTAGCTCTTAGGGTCAATTTGCATATTACCCTTTTATTATGTAGGACAGACCCCTGGTGCATGGGTGGGGGCAGGCTGGTTTGCCCTGAAGGGTGTCCCGGATCAGGGTAGAGGTCCCGCTGGGGTGCCTGGCCAGCCTAGGTAAGTGACTGATGGCTGTTTTCAGGCTGGCCACAGCCCCTTCAGGATGGGGGTCCCCCTGGGGTGCCTGGCCATCCTGGGTAAGGGGCTGAGGGCTGTTTGCAGGCTGGCCACACCCCCTTCAGGGTGAGGGATCCTGTTGGGGTGCCTGGCCAGTCTGGGTGAGTGGCTGATGGCTGTTTGCAAGCTGGCCAAGCCCCCCAGCAGAGACCCTCACCCCATGAGGGTGTAGCCATTTTGGGTGAGGGGATGATGGCTGTTTGCAGGCTGGCCATGGCCCCCAGCCACCCAAGCTCCCAGTGGAGGCTTGCTGGAAGCAGGTGTCTGGGATTTATTTATCTTCTATAATTGAAACTTTGTTGCCTTGAATAGAGACCACAGCCAGCCAGGGCAGGCGGGAAGCTTGGCTTCCTCCATCGACCGGGCAACTAAGCCTTCTGCTTGCTCCAGCTCCGTGGCTGCTGGCAGCCATCTTGGTTGGGTTAATTTGCATGCAGTCGCTCTGATTGGCTGGTGGGCATGCTTGGGGCGTAGCAGAGGTGCGGTCAATTTTCATGTTTCTCTTTTATTAGATTAGATAATGGTTCTCCAAATTTAGCCTCATCAGAATTACCCAGAGGATTTGTTAAAATGGATTGCTTAACTCAAACCTCACAGCTTCTGATTCAGCAAGTCTGTAGCAGGGTCCAATAATTTGTATTTCTAATAACTTTCCAGTTAATGCACAGGCTGCTAATCCAGCAGTCAAACTTTGAGAAGCATTTATAGAATAGAGAAATTTTAAAAGTTCATGTTCACTGCAATATTGTTTTTTGGAATACATAACATGTGTATGCTTAATATGCTATGGTTCTTCAAAAACACCAGTTTTAACTGAGAGGCCAGTTTGTGAACTGAATACATAAAATGTGTATGCTTAATATATATATGACTAGAGGCCCAATGCATGAAATTCATGCATGGGTAGGGTGTCCAGGCCTGGCCGGCGATCAGGGCTGATCTGTGGGGCAACCAGCGGGGCGATCGGGGGGTGGGGGGGTGCCCTGCTGGCACTCACCTTGGCCAGCCTAGCGCGGCCTACTCGCTGGCCCCACCCCCCGCCACCACTGCTGGTCGCCTCCCTCAGTTGCCTCCCTCTGTGGGGCAATAGGGGGGCCCCAGCTGGCACCTGCCTCGACTGGCCTGGGGCCTGCAGGCTGAGGGCAGCTCCTGCATTGAGCATCTACCCCCTGGTGGTCAGTGTGCATCATAGCAATTAGCCATTTGGTTCAGGGGTCCTCAAACTACGGCCTGTGGGCCACATGCAAATACAAATATTGTATTTGTTCCCGTTTTGTTTTTTTACTTCAAAATAAGATATGTGCAGTGTGCATAGGAATTTGTTCATAGTTTTTTTTAAAACTATAGTCCGGCCCTCCAATGGTCTGAGGGACAGTGAACTGGCCCCCTGTTTAAAAAGTTTGAGGACCCCTGGTTTGGTTGATTTGCATATTAGGCTTTTCTTATATAGGATTCTTCAAAAAGACAGTTTTAAATGAGAGGCCAATTTATGAACTGTAATGAAAGAGATCAAAAGAAATTAGTGCCAGGGAGAAAAGAGCAGTAATTCCTTTATGTAGAAGACTAATTTTGAATTAATGGAAACCAAGACTGGATTATAAAATATCTATTTATTCCAATGATCTTCATTGCAACACTAGAGGCCTGGTGCATGAAATTTGTGCACAGGTAGGGTCCCTAGGCCTGTCCAGTGATCAGGACTGGTCGGGGCCTTCTGGCTGCCTGCCAGGGCCTTCCTTCCTCAGCTACCAGTTGCTGGCCAGGGCCTTGCGGCTTTCCCCTGTTGCTGACTGCTGACTGGGCCTTCCTTCCCTGGTTGCCAGATGCTGGCTGGGGCATTTCTTCTTTCTATGCTGACCCCTGGTGGTCAGCACAAGTAATAGTGAGTGATCAAACTTCTGGTCTCCTGGTCGAACTTGGAGGGGACACTTTGCATTATATATATATATATATATATATATATATATATATATATATATATACTAAATCAGTGGTCGGCAAATTGTGGCTCGTGAGCCACATGTGGCTCTTTGGCCCCTTGAGTGTGGCCACGAAGTTTCAATCGCACTGTACGTGCACGCCCACACGTGGTATTTTGTGGAAGAGCCACACTCAAGGGGCCGCAGTTTGGCAACCACTGGACTAGATGCCTGGTGCACAAAATTTGTGTGGTGGGGGGTGTCTCTCAGCCTGGCCTGTATCCTCTCACAATCTGGCCTAAACCGGCAGTCAGACATCCCTCTCGCAATCTGGGACACTGCATGTACCATTGAGCATACTTTTCATACAGATGAAAGGCACCTTGCTGTTGTATGGGAAGCTACATTTTTTTGCCCTGATTATAAAAAGTAGTACATTACATGATCCTTCTGAGGAAGTAGTACCATTTTCCCCATCGTATGGGTGGGAAAACTGAAGCAGAGAGCAGTTAAGTAATTGGCTTTGTTATAAGTGTCAGAATCAGGCTGACCACAAAATGTGCAAGCCAGAGTCCATGCATGTCATTGCTGCATCATCCTGTTTTTTCAGTGTTAGAGGAGCCTTGCCAGGTTTTAATTTTTAAATCTAAGAGACTGTTCCCAATATATAGGGTAGGGTCTCTAGGCCTGCCAGCGATCAGGGCCATCTATGGGGTGACTGGCAGGCGGGGCAATTGGGGGGGGCCCCCGCTGGCCCTGCCTTGGCTGGTGGCCTGGCGTTGCCTGCTGGCCGGCCCTGCCCCTTGATCACCACTGCTGGTCATCTCCCCTCAGGGGGCAGACACTCAACGCAGAGTGTGTGTCCCCTGGTGGTCAATGCACATCATAGTGACTGGTTGGTCCACTGGTTGTTCTGCCATTCGGTGGATTTGCATATTAGGGTTTAATTATATAGGATTGTTTTTTATAAAAAAAAAGAAAACTGGAAAGAACCCATTTAACAGAGGTCCAACTAAATATACTATAGTATGCTTAACTATAAAGGTCTTAAAAAGAATTAAGTTGATTTGGATGTGCTGATATGAATCAGAAGATATATTACTATGCTTTAATCATTAATGAACAGGAAAAATCATGTTTTCTTGAATAAATAATAATAAAGGTGACATCAGCAAGATCGAGGGTCAGGAGGTCCCAGTGCTAGTATCCCCAACAAAAACAATGAGTAAACAATGAAAATAGCTCTAGAAGAGCTATTTCTGCCTTACAAAGAAAAGCAGCAGAAATCATGAGGAGCTCAAAAACTAAAAATGGCTGCATAAAAAAGCATAGGGAGCATTTTGCCTGAGTCACCTTATGATCCAGTCCAGGACAGCCAGGAAGGAATTCCTGGGAGAGATTTTACCCCAGAGGAAAAAGGATAGCAAGAGAACCACAGCATACCTCACTGCCATGGATGTTTGAAGCCTTTGCTATGGAGGACTCCTACAGTATTCACCAATGCTGATCCTAGTTCAGCGGTTCTCAACCTGTGGGTCGCAACCCCTTTGTGGGTTGAATGACCCTTTCACAGGGGTTGCCTAAGACCATCGGAAAACACATATATAATTACATATTGTTTTTGTGATTAATCACTATGCTTTAATTATATTTAATTTGTAACAATGAAAATACATCCTGCATATCAGATATTTACATTATGATTCATAACAGTAGCAAAATTACAGTTATGAAGTAGTAATGAAAATAATTTTATGGTTGGGGGTCACCACAACATGAGGAACTGTATTAAAGGGTCACAACATTAGGAAGATTGAGAACCACTGTCCTAGCTGATGGAGCTGCCTGGACTGCCCTCAAGCCCCCTATCTATTCAGGGCTGGAATTGTGGCTGTGATGAGACCTGTCCTCGGGGTCACCAGAAGCTGCTGCACCACATTTTCTGAGATTTGGAAGCCACAGCATCTTATCATCTATGGGACCAGAGGAGTTGCCACTGCTCCAGGTCCTAGGTTGTGTCTTTGACTTGCCATCACTAGACCAAGTTGCTGCTGCTCCATACTCCATCCTGTGTGTCCTGACACTTAGCTTTAACAGACCATCCCCTGGACATACTGTTGTTCTCTGTGACTGATCCCTCAGGCCAGAGGGAATACTTCGACCTACCATTCCCAGACCGTGATGATACTGCATCCTGCTCCCTGAGCCCAAGCCACCTCTGCACCCTGTTATCCCAGAGTCCAAGTGGCTACTACGTTCCCTCCAATTCCCTCCCACAGTCACTGCAGCAAACTCCAGAGACCTAGACTTTAGTTCCACTGGAAATTAGCATATGCACATACCTCAGACACTAGTGCCACTGCCACAGCAAGTGTACCTTTGTCCCAGGACCCAAGCATTGTGATAGTTCCATGTGTACCTGATCCCAAGATTGTCTCTATTGCTAATCTGAGGGCTAGCACACCAGACCTGGCACCAGGAGGATTTCCTCAGCTGGAACTTCCTCTTACGGGCAAAAAAAGGAGAAGAAGAGAACCACAGCAGCCTTTATCTCCAAGAACCCTAACAGCCTTAGTTGCTACCACCACCTACAGGACCTTTAAAGTCTTGGCCACAGGAGACTCCCCCAGTGTTCCCCAACATTGACTTCAGCTGATGGAACTGTATGGAGAATATACTGCTGTGTCCTCCCAAGAACCATAGATAATGCAACCCTGCCAGTCAGTGACCTCACAGCCACCTTTGAGTGGGGAAATTTATCACCCCTAGAACTGCCTTACAGAAATGCTGAAGGGTGTTTCTCAAGCTGAAACATGACAAAAAGGAAAGTATAAAATCCTCTAAAATAATAAAAGCTTAGGTTTTGAACCAAGATGGTGGCATAGGTAAACCCTGGAAATTGCTGCCTCCCACAACAACTTCAAGAATACAAAGAAAAGACAAAATGGACATCATCCAGAATTACAGGAAGGCTGGCTGAGTGGAAATTCTACAACTAGAAGGAAAGAGAAAAGCGCAATGAGACTCAGAGGAGCCGAGGAAATAAAGTGCAGAGGTACAGAGGCTCGAGCGCGAGCAGAAAGGGGCTGGTACCTGAGAACGTGGCTGTCTTTTTGAATTGGGAGGGAGTCACAAGCTCCCAACTGCTCTGATCTCTAGTTCCGGGAAGTCTCTGGAGACCCGGGACTCATATGGGGAGAGACTGGACTGTCTGGCAGCGGGCAGAACTTGGAACTTGAGGGCGGCTTTCCCTCAGAGGTGCTTGCAGCTAGGACACTGAGACGTGGGGCCCCTTAGGGCAGGGCTGAGGATCAGCCATAGCTGCTTGCTCCACCCTGTTGATTCTCTGAGACACTGCCCCAGGCAGGCTTCGACAGAGGCTTTTGCATATGAATGCCCTGGTCCTTTGCAATCTGAAAATTACCTAACAAATTGCAGCTGGGCCAGACAGACCCAGAACTTCCAAGAGAAGGCCTAAGACCCCACAGCAGCATGCACTGCTTCACAGCAGAGCCTCATATGGGCACCTCCAAACCCCCAAAAAGGAAGGGGAATCTGCAGATCTCTTTGTAGCTCCTGCTGGGTAACCTCAGGAAGAGGTTAAATTAGCACCTCCTTAGATCCAAGAGCCAGTGTACCCAGTGGTGAGAGTGGGACCATCCAGATTACAACTCCTCAGATCCATAAAGGACACACTCAGGGGGCAGACTCAGTGAGCACCAAAGCCCCACTGAAGCAAGTCTTGCCCCAGAAGGGTGTCTTCAGCACAGAAGTTCTCCCACTGCAGACACAGCGGATTATCACTTTCAATTGGCCTGGAGGTCAATTCCTCCCAGTGATAACTACAACAATCAAGGCTTAACTACAACAAGACTACAACAAGACTGTGCACAAAGCCCACAAAGGGATGCACCAAGAGTGTCCACCTCAGGTAACTGGGGAGGCTGAGCCACTGGGCCCTATAGGACACTTAGCACACAAAGCCACTCTACCAACACAGGGAAGCATAAAAAATGCAGAGACAAAGAAACAGGTCACAAATGACAGAAATGGAGGAAAGCAAACGACTGGATATAGAGTTCAAAACCACATTTATAAGGTTTTTCAAGAATTTTCTGAAAACCGCCGATAAATTTAGTGAGAACCTGGATGATATGAAAAAAGACCAACTAGAAATTAAGCATACACTGACTGAAATAAAGAATAATATACAGAGATCCAACAGCAGACAAGAAGATCCCAAGAATGAAGTCAAAGATTTGAAATACGAAGAAGCAAAAAATACCCAACCAGAAAAGCAAAAAGAAAAAAGATTCCAAAAATATGAAGATAGTGTGAGGAGCCTCTGGGACAACTCCAAACGTATCAACATCTGAATTATGGGGGTGCCAGAAGAAGAGAGAGAGCAAGATATTGAAAACCTATTTGAAGAAATAATGACAGAAATCTTCCCCTACCTGATGAATGAAATAGACTTACAAGTCCAGGAAGCACAGAGAACCCAAAACATAAGGAACCCAAAGAGGACCACACCAAGATACATCATAATTAAAATGCCAAGAGCAAAAGACAAAGAGAGAATCTTAAAAACAGCAAGAGAAAGACAGTCAGTTACCTACAAGGGAGTACCCATATGACTGTCAGCTGATTTCTCAACAGAAACGATGCTGGCCAGAAAGGAGTGGCAAGAAATATTCAAAGTGATGAATAGCAAGAATCTACAACAAAGATTACTTTACCCAGCAAAGCTATCATTCAGAATTGAAGGCCAGATAAAGAGCTTCACAGATAAGAAAAAGCTAAAGGAGTTCATCACCACCAAACCAGTATTATATGAAATGCTGAAAGGTATTCTTTAAGAAGAGGAAGAAGAAAAAGGTAAAGATACAAATTATGAAGAGCAAATACATATCTATCAACAAGTGAATCTAAAAATCAATTGAATAAAAAATCTGATGAACAGACTAAACTGGTGAATATAATAGACCAGGGGCATGGAAAGGGAGTGGATTGACAATATTTGGGGGGAAAGGGGTGTGGGGGTGCAGGAAGAGACTGAACAAAAACCGTACACCTATGGATGAGGACAGTGGGGGGTGGTAAGGGCAGAGGGTGGGGTGGGAACTGGGTGGAGCACAGCTATGGGGAGGGGGGAAGAGGAACAACTGTAATAATCTGAACAATAAAGATTTAATTAAAAAAATAATAAAAGCTTAATATGCTAATTAGACCAGATGTCCTTCCAGAAGTCCTTTGGAAGACCTTTCAGATGAAGCCAGGGCTGTGAGGGAAGCCCGGGTCCCAGATGCTTGTCTGCGGCCAGAGGGAAGCTTGGGTCTTGGGTGCCAGAGGAAAGCTGGTGCCGGCAGCTGGGGGAAGGTAGGCCTACTCTTGCATGAATTTTGTGCATCAGGCCTCTAGTATATAATAAAAGCCTAATATGCTAAGTGTCTGGTCGTCCCACCGTCTGTTCAATGAATCAAAGCATAATATGCTAATGATATGCTAAGGCCGCTCAACCGCTTACTATGATGTGCACTGACCACCAGGGGGCATATGCTCTCACTGGTAGGTTAGCTTGCTGCTGGGGTCCGGCCAATTGGGACTGAGCAAGATGCCCTGGAGCCCTCCCATGGTCCCTCTCCAGCCCTGATCCTGTATGGGTGGGATCCCTCAGCCTGGCCTGCACCCTCTCACAATCCGGGACACCTTGGGGATGTTGGAGAGCTAGTTTTGGCCTGATTCCTCAGGCCAGGCCAAGGGACCCCACTGGTGCACGAATTTGAGCACCGGGCCTCTAGTCTATTGATAAGATTAATATATAGTCAAATTCAAAACACTCTAAATAGTGATTTGTAAATCACATTGACTCTAGCACAGTGATGGCGAACCTATGACACACGTGTCAGAGGTGACATGTGAACTCATTTTTTTGGTTGATTTTTCTTTGTTAAATGGCATTTAAATATATAAAATAAATATCAAAAATATAAGTCTTTGTTTTACTACAGTTGCAAATATCAAAAAATTTCTATATGTGACACGGCACCAGAGTTAAGTTAGGGTTTTTCAAAATGCTGACACACTGAGCTCAAAAGGTTTGCCATCACTGCTCTAGCATATGTTAAAAAGCAGAAATATTTAAAATAACTATAGCCATAATATTATGTTAATGGATACTATACAAAAGATGTAAATTGAGACATCATCAAAATAAATTGGAAGCAAGCAAATGTGTAGAACTTCTTTATGGAATTTAAGTTATCAGTTTAAATTAGACTGTTATAACTATAAGATGTACTATAAAAGCCTTATGATAATCACAAAGCAAAAAACAATAATAAATACAGAAATGATAAAGAGAAAATAATAAAAGCATATTACTACAAAAACCTGCAAAAAAATAAATGCACAAAGGATAGCAAGAGAGAAAACAGGGAACTATAAAAAATTCAGAAAGTAAAATGGTGTTAGTAAATCCTTATCTATTAATAATTACTCTAAATTTGTAAATGGTTTAAAATCACCAATTAAGTGACGTGAAATTGTTGAAAGGATAAAATAAAAAAAACCAAGACTCTGACTTCAAGAAACTCAGTTAAGCTTTCAGGGCACTCATAGGATAAATGCATGGAAAAGGTATTAATGCAAATGAAAGCCAAAAGAGAGCAATAGTAGCTATATTTACATCAGACAAAATAGACTTTTGGCTTAAAATGATCAAGAGAATTAAAGTAATCATATAATGATAAAGAGGTCAATTCATTAAGAGGATATAATAATCATAAATATATATATGTACCCAATATTGAAGTACCTAAATATATTAAACAGTTATTAACAAACATGGAGGTTAAAAATAGGCAGTAAAGCAATAATATTGGAGGACTTTAATAATCCACCCTCAAGGATAGACTAGAAATAAAATTAATCCTATAAAATAAAGAGGTAATATACAAATTGACCGTCATGCCCTCACACAAGATGGCTGCCCCCATGTGGTCAAAGATGGCCACCACAAGAGGGCTGGCAGGGGAGGGCAGTTAGGAGAGACCAGGCCAGCAGGGGAGGGCAGTTGGGGGTGACCAGGCCAGCAGGGGAGGGCAGTTGGGGGTGACCAGGCCAGCAGGGGAGGGCAGTTGGGGCCAATCGGGCTGGCAGGGGAGAAGTTAGGTGTCGATCAGGCTGGCAGGTAAAAGCGGTTAGGGGCAATCAGGCAGGCGATAGGTTGGGAGCCAGCAGTCCTGGATTGTGAGAGGGATGTTGACATCCCTCGAGGGGTCCCAGATTGGAGAGGGTACAGGGTGGGCTGAGGGAC